TGAGAATGATAGTAAACTAAAACTTGAATGCATGTGTGATAAAGAATATTTGATTGGACATTAAAACTAAGATTTATGATTGAGGAAATGATGAAGAAAGAGAGGTACATAATTCAACAAATTGAAATGGGGCAAATCATCATCAAACATCAATACAGAAGTCATTTTAAAAGCAAGGAATGCATGCAAAACAAATGATACATTTTCGTCTCTTGTTTCTTTTGCTACAATTATTCAATATTGCAAGAATATTTTCAACAGATGGAAAACCTTTTAATTGTCTGAAACAAAATATTTGAAGAATTAAAACTTTTTGATACTTCAAATTTGAATTCCTCTATTTAGTTCTTAAACTTTTTATACTATAGCAATTCTGTCGAAATGCTCATAAATTTCATTGATATCAGAACTTTTACCATTATGAGAGTCGAACTTCTCTATACGGCTGACAGATGTTGTAAACAGAATATCATGTACATGACGTAAAATTTAAGTCGAAAATATTGCTCTAAAAATGTTTAGGGGGATGGGGGTCTGCAACCATTAATGTGTCTTTTTTTTTCCTTATTTTCTGCATTTTTGAGAGAGGAAAGACAATGAATACATTGAAATAAACTAAATTTATTAAAAACATGAGAAATTAAAATCATGTGAAATGGGACGTATAAAGATAATCACCTAAGAAACTAGCCTTGTTTGAATTTGATATACTTTAGAAAGTTTCATGTTAGGTTAAGTAAAAAAGGGTAAAACATATTATAATGAACTATAAAAATTGAACAAAAGTTGCTTATAGACAATACTCCTTTTTTGGCTTTATAGTATCTTATCTATGAGCGGAAACTAACATCTGCAGTGCACATTTTCCTTTTAGTTTATAGAGACACTTGAAATAGTTGACCAATTTGAATAACGTCATCATAAACATATTTTTTCCCGGGGTTGTTGTTATAAGGAATTAAAATAATTTGGTCTGTTATTTTCAATGTAAATGGTATTTCTTGGAATTGTTGAAACAATATTTTTGTTGCATATTTTTTCTGACACTTAATTTCTGCAATTACAGCTCTTTATCCAAAATATAATTAAAAATCATCAAAATTTGTGTCCCCGTCCACAGAAAAGTACTTGTTATGTGTTAATATCAAAATTCACGAAGCCAATATTACTAGCACTTTAGGACAAGACAGTTTCTACTTTAGTTACATTTTTTCTAAGCTGCTGTTTGAGAAAAATAGAAAAAACTCGTCAGAACTTAAATAAGAAATTTCATTGATAGCCAAATCGCCTCTTCAATGGTAAGTAATGATAACATAAAGGAAACCTAACATTCAGAGCCTATCAAATAATTTAAGAACAATAGCTCTTATGGATTAAACTTCCTTATCAAGACCATACATTTAATTTATAATAGTCATGCTTATAATCCAACAGATAATCTAATACAATCGTTATCTTTTAAAATACTTAAAGCATTATGAAACATTTTTGTATGTTTTTTTTAAGCATTTTCTGTAGTTAAGAGTAGCGCAGCCATGCGTCATGTATACATAGCTGCCATTTGTTAATTTGACTAATTTAAAATTCTTAAAAAACTTTTACTGTTTCGCAAATCTTTTTATCATTTTATATTTATCTTTATGATGAAAGCAATAACGAATTGATTGATCACAACAAATCATAAAGTTCTACTAATTGATATTTATGAATGTCTGGAAATGTATTATATTATAGTTCTATTGATACGCCAGAGAAAATCGTAGCTACATCGAAAATATTTGAAGAATTAAAACTTTTTGATACTTAAAGTTGAATTCCTCTATTTAGTTCTTTAGACTTTTTTTTACATTAGCAATTCTGTCGAAACGCTCATAAATTTCATTCAATTCAGAACTTATATCATTATGAGAGTCGAACTTCTCTTTACGACTGACAGATGTTGTAAACAGAATATCATGTATATCATGTAAAATGTAAGTCGAAAATTTTGCTCTGAAATTATAAATAGGGGGTCTGCAACCACTAATGTGTCTTTTTGTCCTTATTTTCTGCATTTTTGAGAGAGGAAAGAGAATGAATACATTAAAATAAACTAAATTTATTAAAAACATGAGAAATTAAAATCATGTGAAATGGGATGTATAAAGATAATCACCTAAGTAACTAGCCTTGTTTGTATTTGATATACTTTAGAAAGTTTCATGTTAGGTTAAGTAAAAAGTAGGTAAACCATGTTATAATGAGCTATCAAAATTGAACAAAAGTTGCTTATAGACAATACTCCTTTTTTGGCTTTTTAGTATCTTATCTATGAGCGAAAACTAACATCTGCAGTGCACATTTTTCTTTTAGTTTATAGAGACACTTGAAATAGTTGACCAATTTGAATAACGTCATCGTAAACATATTTTTTCCCGGGGTGAGTTATAAGGAATTAAAATAATTTGGCCTGTTATTTTCAATGTAAATGATATTTCTGGGAATTGTTGAAACAATATTTTTGTTGCATATGTTTTCTTACACTAAATTTCCGCAATTATGGCTCTTTATCCCAAAAATGATGAAAAATCATCAAAATTTGTGTCTCCGTCAATAGAAAAGTACTTGTCTTGTGTTAATGTCAAAATTCAAAAAGCCAACATTACTAGCACTTTAGGACAAGACAATTTCTGCTTCAGTTTATTTTTTCTAAGCTGCTGTTTGAGAAGAATAGAAAACGACTCGTCAGAATTCAAAAGAGAAATATTATTGATAGCCAAATTGCCTCTTCAATGGTAAGCAAAGAAAACATAAAGAAAACCTAAAATTCAGAGCCTATCACATAATGCAAGAACAATAGCTCTTATGGATTTAACTTCCTTATCAAGACCATACATTTCATTTATCATAGTCATGCTTATACGTAATCCAACAGATAATCTAACACAATCTTTATCTTATAAAATATTTAAACTTAAAGCATTATGAAACATTTTGTATGTTTTTAAACATTTTCTGTAGTTTAGAGTAGCGCAGCTAATCATCATATATACATAGCTGCCATTTGGTAATTTGACTAGTCTAAAATTTTTAAAATCTTTTACCGTTTCAAATCTTTTATCATTTTATGTTTATCCTTATGATGGAAACAAAAACGAATTCATTGATCACAACTAAAGATAAAGTTCTACTTATTTATATTTATGAATGTCTGTAAATATATTATATCATATTTCCAATGATACGCTAGAGAAAATAGTAGCTACATCAAAAATATTTGAAGCAACCATCATTAAGGATTTTTTTCTAAATAGAGATAACAAAAAAATGTTTGTTAACTATCATAAACATTTAAGAATGATAAAATATTTGCAAACTGTTTTACGTTTTTACATGAGAATGATAGTAAAATAAAACTTGAATGCATGTGTGATAAAGAATATTTGATTGGACATTAAAACTAAGCTTTAGGATTGAAGGGAATGATAAAGAAAGAGAGGTACATAATTCAACAAATTCAAATGGGGCAAATCCTCATCAAACATCAATACATAAGTCATTTTAAAAAGCAAGGAATGCATGTAAAACAAATGATACATTTTTCGTCTCTTGTTTCATTTGCTGCAATTATTCAATATTGCAAGAATATTTTTGACAAATGGCAAATGCCTTTTAATTGTCTAAAACAAAATATTTGAAGAAGTAAGAATTTTTTTAATACTGCAAAGTTGCATTCCTCTATTTAGCTTTTTAAATTTTCTTTACTTTAGCAGTTCTGTCAAAATACTCATAAATTTCATTCAATTCAGAATTTATATAATTATGAGAGTCGAACTTCTCTATACGACTAACAGATGCTGTAAAGCAGAATATCATGTATTGTTTAACGGCCTCCATTTCTGTAACTAAACGACATATAGTTACAGAATTTGCAGCGAGTCTGTTAAACACTGCGCAACAGATTATTTGGCATTTCACTTTGCTGGCTTAGTTAAGCAATACGTCTTTCCCATTCATCTGGTAAACTGAGTTAATACGAGCAAATTTGAAATCTACCCATTTTAAATTTTTTCTAAACCGCTTTTGGTGAATTTCATATATTGCGTCATTTCCTTATAGTGGACATTGAAATGTTTTATTTCTTTCTATGCTTTCGTTTCCTAGAAACCTTACATCTATTTATTCAAAACACGTTCTAGGCTGGTGAACTCTACTTATATGAATTGTTGTAAACATGAGTCTTTATAATGAACAATTTGTCTAATCTATTGCAATAATATCAATCATCATAAATTATCTGAAAGCAGACGTGAAAATACTTTTTGGAGAAGCAAGTTTAAATGTTACATAATTATAGAAATCCATACTTGATTTAGATAGCCAAAAAAGTTTAAGAACAAATGATTATATGATTATATTGATGATAAGCCTTACATAAATAAAGTAAATGTTTTACTACAAAAGCTTTAAAGAAATTAGTAATCGTTCACCTTCTAATAAATAGAAAATAAAGATGATATCAAGCTCAACAAAAGCGTTTCTTGGGACTCTCATAATCCTGTCTATTAGTGGCCAAATAGTAAATGGTAATGACGACATATCAATCTGCAAGAAAAGCTTAGAGACATTAAAAGACAACGTGAAAGAATGGATGGAAACTTGCGTTGATAAAATGGCAATGACGATAACACAACTGCATGCAAGGAAGTAAAACAATACAACAAAGAAATGATGCAAATGCAAACAGAAATGTGTTTTACAAAGGTATAATCTTTAGATTTGACAAATTTTCATAGTTTCTTGTTCATAGCACCAAAACAATATTCAACAAAATAGGTAGAAGTTGTGCAGCCAATCTAATTTCAGTTATTAGTAATATTTCTACAGTGAAAATTCTTTCTAAAAATACTTATTCTGGTCTTTCACAAAATATTATGATCGTAAAGTCTATAAAAATTTGCATTTTTAATCCACTCTCATCGTTGTTATTTATATTTTTTATTATTTATTTAGATGTTTATCCAAAGCCATATTTGATTATTATGAGCTTTGATAAAATATACTCTGTTGATTTTATTACTGGAGATATTCATGTCAGCACTATTAATGGCTCCAGTAAGAATAAATCTGACCATGCATCAAGATATAATGACATAGAAATTGATGTAGTTGAGAGTGTGCTTTACTACATTGATGACAAAGATATCAAACGGGGAAATCTTGACTTGACTAGAAACGAAATTTTTGCGAAAAATGTTTCTGTTCATGATATTACAGTTGACTGGATTGGTCGTCGTATCTTTTACATTGACTCCACGAACATTATCTACCAAATTTATTTGAACTTTACATTACAAAAGAACATTACAAGTGAAATGAGGCTTCAACCAGGCTTACAATTTTCCAGCATTGCATTTGACTCAAAACATGGGTAAGGCGATATTGAAATTCTTTTTATTTACTTGTAAGCGTAAAATTAATAAACTATGTCAATCTATTGGAGGGTTTTCTTAAGTAAGGTAAGAGTTTTTGTTTTTAGAGATGGTGTTTTAATTTAGTAGAAAAGTTAAATTTTATAAGTCCGTATTATGGTTTGTTATTTAAAGGTATAAATAATAGAGAAAAAATCGATTTTGAAATCAAAACTTGCTTTTTCCGAGGGAGCGAATATTAAGTATTTTATGATAGTGTTTTATGCAGTGCGGATTTTAAATTAAATGAAATTTTATAAATGAATAATTAACAATTCGAAATATGCGGTGCCTGCATTGCTTGACCAATGAGAGCAATGTATCGAAACCTGAATTTTTCTGAGATAAGCTTAAATTCTCCAAAAAATTGCGAAGATCGTATCTTCATTTAATTAAGTATTTTGTTGGCTATAAAGAAACAAACGTCATATAGTTCGACAGATTTTTATTAAAATCAACGTCTTTCGGAGAGATTTGGCCAGAAAAATTTTACTGCGTGACTATAAGGCATTTCAAACCAACTGCAATAATGAACACGTTTCGTGTGATTATTCAGCACACATGCAGTAGAAAATAACATGCAGATCCTGAAATTGCAAAAATCGACAGCGATATTTAGGTTGAGCAATTAAAGAGCTTTTAGAAAAAAGGTAACAACGGAGGGATCAATGTTTATATATGATGAAGTCATTAAATGAAATAAAACAGAGCGGTAGAAACTGAAATAAAATATTAAATAATTACTTTGCACATAAAACTTTAGTCAAATACTCACAGAACCTTGGCTTTCCACAACCTACAAAAAAGAAGTACAACTTCACTGTGCAACTTAGTGTTGTACATTTAATTCCATTACTGGCTTCGGCTAGCCACCTAAGAGCGCTTTTCTTTGTCAGAAAAAACAATTTGCTTGACGCCTCCATGGTAATCATATGCTTAATAAGATATGCCCTACACAAAAGATTTCAACAAATTGGGAGCATTGTTTGTTGCTATACTGTGCTCTTTTGTATACTTTTTTGAGGCAGTGTAAGAGATGTGCAACAATCTCAATACGGGATGGCAATAAAGTTCTAAGATATTCACGAGTGTGGTGAACTTAAAAAACTTCAACTTTTCGTTTTGTAATGAAGATAAAAAGAACTACACACATCACACATTCCAACGTAGTTACATGAAAAATATAAAAATGGATTTTAGTTTTCAAAAATGTGGCAATTTAAATAGTCATAATCAATGTATCAAGTTTATAGTTTTTCAAGCCTTCTTTTACCTTTAATTGAATAGCAGAGCATATTGAAAAGTCGAGAGCTGCAAATTAAGTGGCTGCACACTTCCCTTTAATAAGTCCAATCACACATCCAATCAAATCACCTAAATGGAAAATCATTTCACGACCTTTAGTTCATGCAGTGTTTCTTAGTGTAGCTTAGGCAAACGTTAGGTCTGTGGCTGCTACACTGATGATGAATCTGAAGATAATAATCATGTGATTAAAAAGAAATTGGCTTAAAAGCCTTGTGGAGCGAGAACTTTCTGAATATGTTATAATTTACGACTTTAGAATAATTTCCTCTTCTAACGATTCCTATGAGCTCTCCATTCATGAGAGCCTTCTAATCAATAAATACAAGACTTCACTCTTCGTGCAAGGAGGTTCCATTCCACTTAACCTCTCTTAACTTCACTAAATTTTACTTCCCAACGTCTTTATCATGTAATCCATTTGACAACGTCTCCTTTAGTCGTAATTTAACACCTTTTGTAAATACAATATCTTGTCTTAAAATCTCATTTTAAATTATTACTTGCCTGAATATGTCTTGAGTAAGGACGAAACGTCAGTATAAATTCAATTTTACAGCTTTTGGTCTATTTCTATAGCTCTAATTAAAACTTTATGTTAGGCATTAATTGTTATCATATTACAAGAAAAATTAAGTTTTACGAACACAAAAATCCAAAAGAACGGCAATATATACGAGAAAGTTTTTAAAGAGTTCGGGGCAAGTTGCAATGAACGACAAGAAGACATGGACTTTGCTGTTACTCAAATGCGTAATATATTTAAGAAATGTATTGGAGAATGCAAATATGCTGCGATGATAATCAAAACTGCCAGTTGCATCAAACATTTTCGATAAAGCAAAGGCCATAGTGTTCCAGCAGTTTTTGCAGCTTGTCCAATCCAAAGATTCTCAAAAACACGAACATGACATGGCGATAGAATCATCATTTTTAAATGATACCAATAGCGTTAGCTCCAGTGTCAATCTTTTTCTGATTTTTCAGAAAAACAATGAAAAAATTTGACAAATAAAAAGAGAAGGTTAAGGTAGTTTTAAAAAATCGTTTGTCCAAACAAACTGAAAAAAGTATCAACAAAAGACAATGTTTTTGAAGCTATAGCTCTTTTAAAGACATTTGTGGACGATGATCCATCCAAGGAGCTGCTACTTTTCATGCAAGATGAAACTGAAAAATTAAGAAAGCTTAAAATTGAAATGACAAAGCTTTTTAATTTTATATCTACATGAAATGGTGCATATCATTTACCAACACCAAATTTTCAATTCGAACAAAAATTCCACGCATCAGCTAATTTTCAGCATTATCAATTACCAACACAATTCATTCAGCAGCCACTCCAAACTACAGCATTACTCTTTCCGACAATAATCTCAAACAATACCAATCATTATAGAAGTTATGTGAATAAAATAACGTATTACATTTATTATTATGTTCTGAACCACATGCATTGTTTAATTACTTCATATATTTTAGTTCAGTTTTTAAAAGAGAGATTTCAAATGATAAAGGTGATCTTTTCCTGTTAGTTACAATAGCTTTATGTTGCTATATTATCAAATTTTATAAATATGTTCCATTAAACCGTCTATATATGAAGGTAGTTCTGAATACTTTGACAACATCTTTGTCTAAACTAAAAAAGTATTCTATCTTTCCTTTCTTGCATATATTAGCTTGCCAATTGTTTATGAATTTCAGTACGTATAGAGAAAATTAATGTACAAAACAAATATTTTTATTAAGGTATCTATTCTTGGCAGAAAGTACAGAACTTTTCTTATGGTTATGGAACAAGACTGCAAATAAACATCATATTCTTTCAGTTTCACTTCAGTCAATAGCACATGATCTAACGCTTGACATGGCTAAAGAGAAGATTTATTGGCGAGTTTCAAACGGAAATATTTTTCTTGTGATTACTACTCCCAAAATGTAATTGATTTTGGAACTTCACGAGGTCCCATGGCAGTATTTGGGGATTTCATTTATATCATGACTAGTGTTGGACAAAGTGTCGTTAGTGTCCATAACACAACAGATCAACGTACGAGACGTAAATATTTTCTTCCTGTAAACAACGCTTATCTTGATTTGGCTGTACACAGTATCACTCCTGACTCAAACGGTAGTTAAATATTTACTAATTTGACATAATAATCTAAGACCTGCAAAAACTCCCACGCTAATGTTCAGAAAATAGAAAGACGTTATAAAGTTCAAAGTTACATTACCTTAGTAAACGGTTGTTCTTCCTTCCAAAATTATAGAAAATTTGATGAACATTAAGTTCAAAGTGCAAAGTGTCTAATTTGGACATTTTTGCCGTTTGTCTATTCTTATCAAACTTCTTGGGTGTTAAATTTAAGTCTTTATTGTTTCTTACATCATTTAAACAATTACTTGGGCTTGAAATCAGTCTTAAAAAAAAAATCATGAAAATAGATTGAAAAACGTCCAAATTGAGCATGTTGTGCACTGAACTTAATGTTTATCAAATTTCTTAAAATTTCAGTATATTACAAAACAGAGTTTAAACATTTACATCTTTAGATTAAACTAGATTTAAAACTTTTCATTTTCTTTGTGCATGCTGTTCAAATTGAGGTGATTACGAAGTACTCACATGGTTTTTGAGATTAGTTTTTTCATTCATTGTACTTTAAATAAACAAGGCAAAGCCATGCCAAAATATATGAGCTTTGACACATTTTGTGAGAACTACTAACGAATTGATAATTTTCTGAACATTTTTCAATTATCTAACTTCTTTAGTATATCCCTTATAGTGTCCCAAACAGCCAGCAAATTTGTTCATACTCTGTAAATTTTCAACATTTATTTAATTGTTTTGTTTTTACGAAATGCGCGAACACCAAAATTACCAACATTGCATAACAAACTTGCTTGCTGGGTACGTCAACGTGGATACTGAGTGACAAATTGCGTTCTTTGAGGAAGAATATGTTTCGTTTAAAATCCCTGGTTAATTTTATTTTTAATTTTATTGATCGATATAGCAACAAGCACTTTTCACTTTCCTTTGTGTGGACCCAACACATACTATCGTAAAATTAATGGAACATTGAACTGCACGTGTATGGAAGGATACTTTGGAAAATGTAACTCGTGCAGGAGAGGTATGGATTTATTACTGTCTTTATCAAGATTTTTTATCACCGATCATGAATAAGGAGCACCTCTGTGCAGTTTTAAAACTTTGTTCTTTGTTGAGAATCCTGAGCTGTTCTCTGTGCTGTTGCTTCTGTGCAAGGAATTTGCTGCATCTACATTTTACATGTAACCACAAAAATAAGGCTCACAGCCACACATACAAGTTCATTATTATCAATACAGTCAAGCAGGAAATTAGTAATAAATTTATGAAAAGCTTCAATACACTTAAAACTTCCCTCAGCACACAACATTGAAAGTGTATGGTTCTCTAAATGACAATAGCATATGTTAACATTAACACATTTTGAGTTTCTCTACATTAAGGAGGGGGTAGGGTTAGGGTTAGGGTAAGGGTTAAGGTTAAGTTTAACACTCCTCCTGAAGTTAGTAATGTAACCATGGCCCTGCTAACCTAGATACACCATATTAGACAGTCTTGAGTTTATTATTGGTTGGCTTTCCTAAACTAAGAATTCTGTAAATACAAACTTTAAAAAGCATTTTGACAGACATGCTTCCAGACAGGGCTGCGGAAGATCTCAAAAGTGGGGGCACTGACCGAAAAGGGCATGTGAGTTTGCAGCTTACTGTTTTAGTATATTACAGATATGCATTGCTTCATGAATCATGATTAAGTTTCAAAGTCTGCAAAATATTGGTAGACATTTTTAGAATGCTATGCGTATTCTCTACTGCTCGGCGTGCGTGCTAACAAATTGAACTAAGATGACTACATGAACAATTTTTTCAAGTAATGCGATCTCATTAAAATTTCCCAAAAAATCTAACCCTACGTTCGTTTTTCAGAACAAAGTTCTTAGCTATTAAACGTAAGTCCAGTTCGTCAGTTCTGGCCTTGTTTACATGCATAACAATAAGACTATTGTAGCCTGCTGCCGTCATTGTGCTCCTGAGATGTGTCTTGACAATCCACTGGCATGAAAAAGATCGTTCTAAAGAGGCTGCACTCATTGGAGCAAGAAGGTAAATCTGCAAGTGTCGAACAACATTAGACATTGCCATGACAATCTGCGATGAGTTATTTTCTTCGGTTGAGAATATTGATGTTATGGTGTCAATTGATGTCACCTTCTTTACTTCTAGAAGTCGCTGCGAGATAACTCCTTCAAGAAGCTTTAACTCCGCCTTCAGCTGGTCAAAGTTGAGGTCATTTTCGTAAAGGTGTTCAACTTCATCATTCAACTCAAACTTACGCCCGTTTGCTGCATTAATGAGCACGGTTTTGATGTTCATCAATACAGAATATGTTTTTTGATCGAAGCGCTCCTGTAGTGAAGCCAAGCACGCACCAATTACTTAGTTGTTTTAGCAACATTCTTCTTCGAGTTTCCTGGGTTTTCTTCAATTCCCTGACCAATATCGCTCCAACATCTCTTCTCGAATCATCAGATAATAAAACTTTCTCAGTCGCCTCTGCGTGAAATTTAGACTGAGAGTGTTTTTTAAGTTTTTCTCCGCACTTCCTCCAGTCAATGAATTATCCTAGGAGAAAAGCCTTTTCACCATTATGACTGAAAGTAATAAGGTCTTGACGCATCGCTCTTTTACAGAAGTAACAGGCAATGGTGCCTTTTGTCATGAAGTATGTGACCCATGTATATTTCAAAAATATAGAAGACGGCCAAGTTCTTACATTCGACGATCCTCCTGTACTGGTTCATTCTAGACGTGTGCTTTATTTCTTCTAGGGTAGGATGGTAAGGATGTCGGCCTGTACAGCACAAACGCTTACAATCGAGTCCTAGCAAACATTCCGTTGACTCAATCTGCATAGGTCCTACCAATAGGGCGGTAGTCGTAGAGCTTGGCAAAGACGCATACGTTAGGTTTTGAGAAGGTGTGTGAACTGGCTCGGTCGGTGGCGCGACTAGTATCTCTGAAGACGATGTAGAGTCAGAATCGCCGAATTTTGGTTTGGAATGAGAATGAGGAGATAAACACGTTGATGGAGTTTCTGTAGCTGACGGCAGTGTCAAATTAGACCTAGAGTCGATGTTTTGGTCAACAACGTTCTCTGCTGGAGCACTACTAAAAACTCGTCAGTTTTCGCATCCTTTTAGCTCTTTCTACAAGCTCTTTTTACTTTTCTCGTTTTCGCCTAGCAGCTCTAGGCATGATGATTTTGATTAGAAGTGATTTAAACCGCAAAATTTTCAATTATTATGATAATGAATTTTCAATTATTATGATAATGAATTTTCAATTATTATGATAATGAATTGTCAACAGTTTTGTAGGACCAATGGCCTGAAAGACAATACGACGGGAGCAATGCGTTGCCGTAGAATTTATAGTCTCATGTGGATCATAAATTGCGACTTCTCATTGGTTAAGTCACTGGGCGGACGACTGCGAAGACAACCCCAATCGACAAACGCGATTTTTGATCTATCTGGGTAATCAAGATCAAAAACTAAGCTATAGCTGATTTCGCATGATGCCGACAGACTATGTTCTACTCTCGGGGCTACTTGTATCTAAGAAAAACTTATTCTCTCCAATTTTGCCTAAAACAAGGGCATTTCTATACCATGAAAAGGGCACTTTCATTCCAGAAAAAGAGCACATTTTTCCCTGTTGCAAAAGGGGGGGCACTTGTCCCCAATGCCCCCCCGGCTCCGCGGCCTCTGCTTCCAGACCTCCTAGAATGAGTGCACCTCAATAATATTACATCAAATGTCTTCAACCAATGGATTGTAGCTTTATGAACTTATTCCAAGAACAGACAAATATGGCCGTTGTCCGATTACTCAGTAGGCTATGTAGGCTGAAGCTTACATTCCCGCGTTTTTAAAAGTCCTGTTCTCTTTAAACATAGTTTTTACTCTTTGCCATTCTAGATGAGATAAATGATCAAAATTTCAATAATATATCCTGTTGGAAACTGTACGATATACTATTATAATGCTCTATGTATAGAACTCATAAAGTAGTGAGTTTATCTCGTTCGAAATTTAAATTTATTCTATAATGTTTACACTATGAGTAACAAAACTGAAGCAAAGGCAATGGAGCATAAGAAACGGAAACGTCGTCAAAAGACTGAAATTTTGGGAGAAAGTTATATCACTTAAAGTCCCATAAATTTTTCTAAGCTTACAGGCTGCGCAATTAGTCATCCGCCGCTTAGTATGGATGGTATGCACTGATAATGTTCATTCATAAATATCTTGTTAACTTTCGATGTAAGAAAATTAGGTTTTACTATTAAGAATTCACTTCCTTTAAAACCTAAATAAGCAATATTTTAAGAGGTACAATAAATAAGGTCAAAAATGTATGTAAATAATGTAATAACGTTTTTCAGTAGATGGCATTAAATTTGTACTGGGTTTAATAAAATTTCAAATGACTTTCTTACTATTCAATTTAACGCTATTAGAGTTAGACTGGAATTTTCTATTCAGACAGAAAAAAATTTCATGTAAGCACACATTACAATGAAATTGACTTTATATTCTGAAATTGAGTGCATTGCAAAACAGCATCCCCACTTCAAATGTAATTCACAGTAGTCAATAATATCCATATCTTACATGCAATGCTTGTGTTCTGTAGGTTTCCAGCCTGTGAAACATGAAACAAGCAATTTTTAACAAATAATAATAATACCTAGTAATGATTTCATTCGCTTAAAAACACTTTTTCACAAAATTCAGTCGTTTATCCTATCATAACAGAACCTTGAGAAACTGAATTTTTAACATTTTCAATTTAAAATAGCCAAAGATTGCACTGAGG